GCAGATTTCTTCTTTGCTCAGTCCTCACCAGCCAGCCACGTCTTCAGCAGGACCCTGGCAGGCAGGCAGGCTCAGGGTAAGCGTGGGCACACAGACCTGAGTGTGTCCCACTCACGGCAGGTGGCAGATGGTACAGCCTCGAGGGTGTTGCCAGCCGACCCAGCAGCCATCCGCAGTCACACTGCGGAGTCTGGCCCAGTCTTCTGGAACACGGGGGAAGCCGACACCCACTGATGCCTGCTGGAGACAGACTCTGTTCTAGGTGCTTCTGCTGTGTTCATTCATTTAACCTCACCTTAATGCTACCGGCTGGGAAGGGTTGGGCGTGTCCATTTCTCAAATAGGAAAAATGCGGCAGAGTTGCTTACACTGATGCAGCCAGTAGTCCAGGAGGTCAGGATTTGAACTCAAGAAGTCTGCCTTAGTTATTTTTTTCTCACTGCAGGGACAAAATACCTGACATCTACAAGTTAAGAGAGAAAAGGTTTATTTCTGCTCACAGCTCATAGAGGTTTCAGTCCACAGCCAGTGGGCTCTGAGGTAGGGTAGCACAGCAGAGGGTGTCTCAGAGGAGAAACAGCCCATGGCAGGCAGGCGGGAAGTGGCGTGCAGCGAGCCGCGCAGGCTGCAAGCCTCTCGGTTGGTGCCCCCCACATGCAGGGTGGGGCTTCCCATTAGCCACACCCAGAGCTGCACTGGACTGTGGACTGATTAGCTACCACACACCCTTGACCCCAGCATCACACAGGCTACGTCACGCCATGAGCCCCCCAGTGAGAGTGCGGGGCTTTTGGGGGCAATCTAGACACAAGCTGCGACAGGCTGCCTGAGAGCTCCCAGCAGGGACCCTCGCGGTGCATCCGTGCTAGTCTGAATTTCCAAATTCTCCCCTCCCCCCTCCCTCGCTCCTCCCCCTTCCTTCCTCCTTGCCTCTTCCCAGTATTCCCTGTGTCTCCTTTTCTCTTTCATGCTCCGAAGCACCTCCTGGGGCCCGTGAGCATCTCAGACCGGAGCTGCTCTTCTGTGGTGGGGATACAGGGTGCAGGGTGGCGTTGGGGGCCCCCAGGCCCCTTTACCACTGCTGCACCTCTCAGGGTGTTGGGCGGTGGGGACCATGCTGTGTGCTCCTTAGCTCACACAGCATTCTTGGGGTCACAGATTGTGTGGAAAGCCCCCCTGAGGCTCGGAGGAAGTCTCTTAGAGAGGCAGAGGTGGGAGAGGCCACCCTTCTGGGGTCCCAAACCAAAGGCAGCAGAGCTATGAAATGTGTCTGGAGCTACGCATGCCTAAAAGATCAAAGCTTTGTATTTAAAACTCCAGGACTGGGGAGATAGTGGCACCATCCAGCCACTGAAACTGGGCATGGTGGCGCACACCTGTAATCCCAGTGCTGGGAAGGCTGAGACAGGAGGATCACCATGAGTCTGAGGTGCATAAGGAGACCCTGTATCAAATAAATAAATCGATAAAAGATTTCTTAAAACCTCCAAAGATATAGGAAACCCCAGATCCAGACTCACTGGAACAACTCCTCTCTGTGGAGCACATCTGTCATCTGGAACGTAGCAGGGATGCCCCTCCGAGGGACACAGCGGGACCAGGCTGCTGAGAGATGTGCCACATCGCCAACCAGTTTGCCCCCTGTGGCTTGGAGATGCCCTGGTGCATCCCTTGGGAGGAGGCAGACAGGCTGCGGGATCTGGGGAAGGAAAGCCACCGAGCTCCCTCAAGTCAGCAGACCAGGGAGCTGGCTCTGAGTCTCTTGCCCTGAATCGGCACATCCTCTCCGGAGGTGGCTCGGCCTGTACTCACAGGTGACCTTGCTTGGCCTCTAACCTCACACATGTTCCTGGGGTCCCCAGAACACAGAGCAGCTTCTTCCTCTCTCTGCTCAAGTCCCAGCTTCCTGAAGTCTGATGTCACTGCTGTCCAAAGCATGTGTCCCGTAGTACCTGGGGCTATGTGCAGCCCACTGGGCCTGGGGCTCTGCCCACCTCTTTGAAAGCTGGGGTTTTCCTCCAACTGCAAGATGTTCTTATTTTTGCACTTGGGACCCCAGAGGAAGCAGGTTGGCTTAAGGTGGGCACCTGGGGTGGGTACTGCAGTGCATCTGGAATGGGCATCCTTGGGGTCCCCCCTCCATGCACCACTGAAGGCTCGCAGATGCCAGTGGATCCCTGACTGCGGGATGGTGGAGATGGGAGCCTCGGCAACCATGCTGGGGTCTATCTGGGGCTTGGAATGATGCACACATGGGCTGGAGTCCACAGCATGCGACACACAGTGACTGCCTTAAAAGCAACAGTGTGTGTGATTCACGCACCTGTGCTAACCTGAACAAAATCCAGCAGGAAGGTCCTCACTGCTCCCCAGATCATCTGCCCCACCCCTTTCCAAGCCAGAGTGATGTGCCACTTGCCTCCCATCTGCCTGCTGTCAAGCCATGTGTGCTGTCCTACTGTGGGCCACAGAGGCTCTTGGAGGAGGAGGTGTGTAGGCTTCCGCAAATGCCCCCCACCCTGGGTCATGGGACGGCTGGCCACCAGCCTTCTGGATGGCATGATAACAGGCACAGTGGTGGCAGTCACATGGAGTTTAGGAGAGAATGCAGATGCACTGGGTGAAGCCCAGGGCTGTCTCCTCAGTGCCGTGACAGAGGGGCAACCCATGGGTTGCCCAGAGGGTCCCTGTGACAGTTGGGTCCTGGCTACCTGCAGGGCTGAGCAGAGGGTATGATTGCTCAAGAGACTCTGCAGCCAGTGGAGAGCCAGAGGGATGGGGGTGCAGGCCCTGCATTCACCTGGGAAACCGTGCAGATGGGAGCGCCCAGCTCTCCCTGGGCTCACCCTGCTGCCCCACACATGGCCTCCTGCTCCGCACTCGGCCCTGGCTCCAGGGCCTTCGCTCCCTTGCACCATTGGTGGCCCGTGGCTGGACAGACCGGGCCTTGCCTATTTCCCTTTCTGGGGGGATACCTGGGGTCTCAGAAGCTGCATCCCTCTGGGCCCCACCTCAGGCTCAGAGAACCTCAGGGGAGCATAGTGTCCCTGGGCTGGATCATTCCGCCCAGCCCTGCGCAGGCCTGGGGCATGCGGAGGTTGAGAGGATGAGCAACTGCTGCTGAGAAAGCCCCGGGACTGCTGATGGAGCCATGGCTGATGACCACTCGGCAAGAGACAGGACTGACTCAGCCACGCGAGCTTGGACCTGCTCGTGGGAGGCTGAACTCGCTGCCTCAGGGGCACCAAGTGCCTTCTTCACGGTGCCTGAGGAAAGGCAGGCTGCCTAGAGCCAGGCTGAAGATGGAGCCAACCACAGGCACCCAGGCAGGGGTGCAGAGGGGCACCCCAGCCCCTCAGCTGGGTCTTGAGGCTCCCAGCCCCTGGCCCACCTTGGAAACCCAGCCCCAGGCTGACAGCCCGTTTGTCTTACTTCTGATCCATTCTGAAGACAGCTATACCAGCCTGGCTGCCTCCTCCTCTCTGCCCAGCAAATGCCAGTAGTGACTTTGCCCACACAGGCCCAGAGAGGATCCCAGACTTGTGGGTGACACACTGTCTGGTGCAATGACTCATGCTCTGGACCACAAAAGAAGCCACAGAAAAAATGTAAATGAGCACGCAGGACTGTGCTCTGACAGAATGGGACTTCCGAAACAGGCCCCTGTGGGTTGGGCCAGAGAGCCCGGGGTGCATCTCCCGTCCTCTCCTGGTGCCTCAAAGTGTGAGGGGCCCTGCAGCTGTGCGGCAGGCACTGTGTGGTGGCACTGTGCACAGTGGGGGGTGCTCCATGGCTGGCTGGCTCTGCACCCCACATGCCGGAAGGCTGTGAGCAGCCACTTTTCCTTCCTGGGACTTCAAGAAGTCTGGGCCATTCCTCATGCCCAGAGTCCACAGGCTGAGCCTGCTGAAGCCCAGTCCAGGAGCTCTGGGCTGCATGGGGTTGGTCTGAGACAGGCGCAGGCACTGGGCCCCACTCACTAAGTGTCCCCAGGGGAGAGCTCTTCTTGTGGGGCAGCAGGCAGCACAGATCTCAGAGACAGATGCCTGACCAGATGTAGTACCTTCCACCAAGCACAGTGCTCAGGGCTAGTGTGGCTGAGAGAAGCACTCAGCCTCTGCACAAGGCATTAGGGAAGCACGTGCGTGCGCGCATGCACACACACACACACACACACACACACACACACGCACACACACACGCACACACACACACAGGCCTGACCCACGCACAGCTGCAGCCAGGGGATCCCAAGCTGTCCACAGTGGCTGCCTTGCACCGCCCCCCACCATCCCTGCCTCTGCAACCAGCCTCCATCTAGCTGCGTTGGAGGCCAAGGATGGAGCACACATGCCTCAGCCCCCCAGGGGAGGGGACCAGCTAGCATGGCCATGTACAGCATCTGCCAGGCCCTGTGCAGCTGGACAGACGGGCCAGAGGTGCACGGGGCGCCGGGTGCGTGCTGTGCCGGCAGAATGGACAGCACTGTGCTGGTAGAGCTGGACATGTCGGGGCAGTGTGGGTAATCCCAGCCCTCTGGGAGGCTGAGGCAGGAGGACGGCAAGCTCAAGCCCAACCCAAACAGTTTAGCAGCTTAGCAAGACTGCCTCAAACTAAAAAGCAAAAAAAAAAAAAAAAAAAAGAGTTGAGGATGTAGCTCAGCAAGAAGCAAGAAGGCCAGGGGTGCAGCCCCCAGTACAAGGAGAAAGAAAATAGGAGGAACAGCAGAAGCACAGGAAAGAGGAGGAGGGGGCAGAAAGGTGACATCAACACACCCTCCCGATGCCCACACCAGTCAACACACAGTGTTGGGCCCCTGCCCAGATCCTTAACTCGCGGGCGCCACATCCCAGCTGGCAGGGGCGACAGTCCAGGGGCTCTGCACTGCCCACCCACAGCTTCCCTGGGAGGGACTCCAGGGCTGATCGTGTGATGGGGGTCCAGGGCAAGGGTCTGCTCAGTGCAGCCAGCTCAAAGTTGTGTCCCATGGCATCTTCCAGAAGCAGCGGTCTGTTCAGCGAGGTGGTGCAGATGAACTTCGAGATTGCCAGCTTCAGCAGCCTGTCGGGGACACAGCCCATCATGTGGCAGGTGGAGTACCCACACAGGGGTACCTCTGAGGTTGCCGTGTCCGAGATCTTCGTCAGCCAGAAGGACCTGGTGGGCATCGTCCCTGTTGCTATGGTAAGGCGAGCTGTGGTGTCACTTTGTGCCCTTCCTCTTGCCCCAGGGTTGCTGCGGCTGCTTTTGTTTTGCTCAGTCCCTGTCCACAGCCCACAAGATCACCCTCACTGTCCCCTCCTCTCCTTCTCCCTGTCCCTCTCTCAGTCCCCTTCCCATGTGCAACTCTCCCTTCCCCTCCTCTCCTAGCTTCCTGGTGTCTATCATTTTATTTTGCTCTTGAATTTATGGAGGAAACGGCGACCCCAGCTCCCACCTCCTCTGCCCCAGAAGTGGCTCCTTCCCTCCCTCCTCTCAGCCCTTCTTGGCTCTTGCGATCCTGACAGTATCGTGACCTGTGCCCACATCCACACTCCTCACCCTTCCGTCCGAGTCACTCCCGATCCTTCTCTTGCTTTCAAGCCACAAGACCTTGGGCTATTCTGTGTGCTCCTCAGGTGAGCCGGGCTACACTGTCATAGCAAAGAACCCCAAAATCTCAGGGACTCATGCAACAAACGTTACTCCTGGACAAAAATTGGGTCACTTCAATGGCAGGGCTCCATGCCATACTGTCCCTGAGGGTCCCTTCCAGCTCCTTCCTGACCCCGCCATGCTTCAGAGTAATGGCACCTTCACCCCCTCTTCCCTAGGAGGATGGGGATTGCTCCCTACAGGGCTCCCAACAGGCTGCCAGCCACCCTAACAGGTAACAGCCAGTGAGGCACCCGGAATCGAGTGGGACCCAATGCCCACGTGGCTCAGGTGACACTGCACTTGCAGTGCCCTCCGAGACTGTCTCCACAAGAACCTGAAGTGAGCACGCTGCCTCTCCAAATTGCGCTGGATTCCAGGAAACAGATTGACCAAGTTTCCCTGGATTGCAAATTCAGCCAAACTTAAACTCTGTTCACGTAACTTAGAAACCTAGAGTGGTGCTCCTCGAACTCCCAGGAGCTCACGGGTCACGACAGGCCTTTGATTAGGAGGCCAGCGCTGGGTGTGCAGCAGCCTCGGGACACCCAGCCCCACACCCACGAAGATGCTCGGTGTCCAGGTGCGCAGTCGACATTGCCACCGAGAGCTGCTGCTCCTCCACAGCCCTGAGGCCCTCGGCGGGCACCCCAGGTGGTTCTCAGAAGTGTCACACCGGCATCTTCAGAGTGTTGCATGCTGCAGGAGCCCTAGTGGACTCCTCATTGCTGACCACCCACACAAACCCCTAGGCCCACTCTGTAGCGGGCGACTTTGTGCAACTGGTGAAGCTTGGGACCCAATGCCAAGGACTGGGAATCCGGGCGTGACCAGCCGGGGAACTCGGCGCTGTAGGGCAGGTGCAGAGCTCACGGAGAGCAGGAGGGTGGTGCGCCACGGGAATCTTGGCTTTCACTGAAAGAGAGGGCGTGGGCAGCCATCAGAGGGAGATGGCAGATGCCCACGCGGAGGCACCAGTCCCGTGAGGATCTGTGGACACTGTGAGGTTGGACTTCGGTGACCACTGTAGCCCACGGGTCAGCCGAAGGGCTGGCCACAATTCCCATGTTCTTATATATCTCCGGTCTAAATGGTTACACGTGGCTGCTCACCCAGCTTGCCACACCCTTTGGACGGCAAACCCTAAAACATTCACTCTCAGGCACTCTGCACAGGGACGTCAGTTACAGGACGTAAGTGCCAGGCTCCTTATCCTACTCATTTCAGAAGCATAAGACATTCAGGAGCTTCAGACAAAACAAACCTGGGCTTGCTTAGGCAGAGCACAGCGGCAGGGGTTCGATCCCCAGCATGCCGTGCCGGCCCTGCCCGGGGGGTGTACTGAGATGGCGACTGAGACTGGGCGTGGTGGCGCACACCTGTAATCCCAGCGCTTGGGAGGCTGAAAACAGGAGGATCACTATCGGTCTGATCCTGTAGACCCTGTACCAAAGAAAGAAAGACAGGCAGACAAGCCCATTGGAGGGATCTAAGGGGTCACTGGGCCCACCTTCAGTGTGCGCGTCCTCCTGGGAGCCAGGTGCTGTCACCGTGCTGCCCTGAGCCGCGCCCAACCCCTGTCCACAAGCTGCTGCGAGCGCGTTCCAGCTGGCGCTGCCCCGTCTCACCGGCGGAGGATGTCTTTGTGGCCCGCATGGAGCTGGGGCTCTGGATGCTCCTGTGACGTCAAAGCTTCTTGCCTGCAGTCTTTTTTTTTTTTAATTGAGAAATAAATATGAATGAGACAGTTTCACAGCTGATTAATAGGACAGATTTGATAGTCCATACACTGTACATTGTTATCTGCTTAGTGGTTATCCATAGCACAAGAAGCAGACAGGATATTCCATCCAAACACTGTTAGTACACCTTTTTCTTCTCATTGAATTAAGCGAAAGTAGCTGTAAATTTATCCTAACTATTTTGTATATATAAATACAAAATGATCTTTCCTTTGTATCTTTTTTTTTATTTTAATTTTTATTTTTATTTTTGTCCTGTCAGAGGTGAATATTCGATTGGCATCTAAATACTATAGGTGGTTGAATTCAGCTAAGCAATCTAACACTGTCTAGCAGTCTATAATATTAGTGGGTTATCCTCGGAAGTTATTGACTTGAACCTTTTACAGCTCATCGTATTAATATGGATTTACTTTATATACCTCCTTTTTATACTTTTCTGCTGGATGGTTAAGACCAAGATATAGCAAGACCTATATACCCAGAAACGTAACTTGTGTATCTGATAAGGTTGCCTGCAGTCTTCAGCTCGGCCTCCACGGGACAAAGGTCAGGGCGCGGCGCTGACCAGCAGGCCGCCGCTGGCCGCTCGCAGGAGCTTCTGCCCGGAGCGCGTGGGCAGGCAAGCGCATTTCGAGGCCTCGGCTGGGCCCCTCTCTGCTGTGAGAAGGGTGCGTCACGCAGCTGTTCCTTCTGCTTCTTCGCTAGCTGTCTAGCGGTGTATGAGGTTCCCATCCCTTGCGCGGCGTCGGTGTGCAGAAAGAGCCACCTTAATTCCTTTTATGCCCCGCGCTCCCTCCCCCTCCCCCACCTCTGCATCCCCCTCCCCGCGACAAAGCCCTGCCCCCACCCCTCTGCCATCCTCTTCGGTTTTGTGCTGTTCTTGTATTTGGTTTCCCTCCTCCGCTGGTGGGGGAGGCACAAACGCGGACACCGGAGTGGAGTCCTCAGAAAACCAAGGCTAGAAATCCTGCCCGCCCCAGCTGCTGCGCTGCGCAATGGTCAGAGGCCTCTGCCGCGGTGGTCCGGGCACGCGCGGCTGGCGGCGTCATGGCCTCGCCCGAAAGCCACCTCTGTGTCCATCCGCAGAGCTTTGACTCTTATGCAGCCAGCCACAAGATGCATTCTCAGTGGGAGCTGCAGCTTAATCAGAAGATGAGAATTGAAAAAAAAAAAAAAAAAAAAAAAAAGAGGAAAACTTGTGCTGCGGGTGCAGCCAGGGCATGCCGGGGAGGCCTCGGGAAAATTCGGGAAACTTCCCAAGTCGTTGCTCGGGGGTGCCCAGTCGGAGCAGTGCGGCAGGGAAACTCTCGCCCTAACGCCAGGCCTTGGCGCCCCCTCAGTCCTAGGCCTGGCGGCCACGGCACCAGCCACAAAGGCCCCAGTTCCCCCCAGCGCCACAGGTTCTGATCCACTGAGAAAGTAATGCAGCAGCTGAACATGCCCCGATGCTCCCGCGAGGCGCCCCATCGAGGTGGAAGCCCTGCAAGCCCCGCCCAAGCTCAGTCTCTGCTTCCACCCTGCCCTCCCCAGACAGCGCAGGCTTGGGACAGAGAAGGTTCTGGCCAGTGACAGCACATGGGGTGGGGGTGGGGCAGGGACCGGGAGCTTTCCTGCCCCGCCTCCTGGCCCAGGCTGTCAGTCCCGCAGGGCTGGGCGCGGGCCCTGAACACACTCCTCCCACCTGGCATGCACAGGGCATCTGGCCTCTGCTCGGTGCCCCTGCCCCTCGCCTGCTGAGGACCAGGCTGAAGCCGCTCCCCAGGGAGGGTGCCCGAGCTGGGTTCTCAGGAGGCTCAGGCTGTCCACTGCTGATCACAACCCTCCCTCTGGGCTCCCTCAAGCCCCTCCCCGAGCCCTCTGCTAGCTTCTCCTCCTGGGCACCCCGGAGCTGCCGCCTCCCTCACCTGCTATGAGGTGCATCCACCACCCGCACCTCCAGAGCTCGGACTGCAGCTGACAGGCAGGGAGCACTGCCTCCTGGGGCCAGAGAGCCGATTCTGGTCCTCTGTGCTGGAGAGAGAGCCAGCACGCTGGTCCACGCCTGTCGCCCCAGCGCCCTAGAGGCTGAGGCAGGAGGAGCCCGGGTTCACACCCCATCTAGGCAGCCGAGTGACCTGAGAGAGCATGCCACTAAACAAAAGATGCGGAGGCTTATTTTTGAATTTTGGTGGCTGGGCGCAGCTCACAGGCAACCCCCCTGGGCTCTACTCCTGGCACAGACAGAGTGGACGATCGGCTCCTCCTCACTTTCCAAGAACGCCTGGCCCCAAGCCGAGCTCCACTCGTGACCCGAAGAGCAGCACTTGTGGCTGGCGGGTGGCCTCCAGGCAGTGGACGGATGTTTGTGCACTTGGAACATGGCCCTGCGGGCAGGATAATTGCGTCCTCGCTGCAGTTGAATGTTTATTTCAAGATTAAATTGACAGACGTCCCTCCTCTCCCAGTAACTGGCCCCGAACTTTGCCTGGAAAGCAAATCTACACAGCCGATGAGTCGGCTCCCTAGCAGCAGGCACAGCCCCGCTTTCCCTGGAGGATCCTGCAGAAAATGAGGAGACTGTCCGCCCCTGCACCAGCTGTGAAGCTGCACGGGACCCTGGCCCACATCTGGGCCCCGCCAAGGACAGGAGGAGTGTGGCAGGCGGCCCCCAGGCTTAGGACCCCGGCGTGTGTCACTTAGGAACTGAAAGCCAGGCTGGAGCAGCGGACCGGGCAGGGGATGCAGGGAAGAAGCTGCCCGGGCAAAGAGTGCTGAGCCTGGGACACGCAGCCCAGCTTGGAGCCTCGGGCAGCACTCTCCCGGAGT